TTATTATACTATTAAATGGTTAATAAATGTGTCTATGTGTGGTATCATTTGGCTGAAACTTGCTTTTATTTTTATCTGACATGCAAGAATTTGTGGATGGCTACCATCACCTGTCAAAAGGAAGAGAGTCAGTTGACTTAAGTCAGTTTGCAACACTCAAGCAAATACATCCATAATGAGCAGATAGTATTTAAGAAATTTAAGTGACTTCTTTTATTTTTAAAGGATTTTAATATCCCCATATATCTAAAATCAATGCTACCAATCCTTGCCAAATATTTTAAAGGATTATAAGAAACTACATATATTTCAGCTAAAGATCCCAGCTAGTTTTTAAGGGAAACTGTGATTAATGAATTTTCAGGTGAGTAGAAAAAGCCTCGGGCTGCTGCGATGGTGCTTTGACACCACCTGGCAGTAAATTTACAGGTGTAACAGTAAAGACAAACCAAGACTATAGCAAACTGTTCCGTGTAACTCCAGGCCTTCCTTGTTCCAAAAACAATTCCATTGCTGTCTGAGTGATCGGAGAATAAATGCTTTTAACACACATACATAAAAAGGGATTTTGTAAGTAGTAACTGGCAGGAATCTCAATATTAACCTGCAAAATAATCAAATCTGCCTGACAGACTAATCAGAAAAGCTTTTTCTTCTCTGTTGTGAGAGCCATTTCCATGTTTTTGTAATTGTATGGTTTTAGGCAGAGCAATCATTTTAGCAACTTTTCATCCTTCTCCCCAAGTGTTAAAGACTTCAGTGGACATCTTTGTCATATAGTTGTCAGTATTTCTGACACTTCCTTGTTTTGTGAGATGACAGTCACAGCCCCTACGAATTGGCTTTCTGAAAATGAAGTCCACGGTAATGAAAGTGATCCTGTTCAAAATATTTTAACTGTTAAATCAGTTTTCATTATGTGCGATGTGGTTCAAAGGCAACCAGTGTTCCCAATAAGCCGTCCACACACACGTCACACTAATGTGCATGTGAGGATGAGCCCCGTAAAGGCAGAAATCTTTGCCTGTTTTGCTCACTGCTGTATGCCTAGAACCTAGAACAGTACCTGAAACAGTAAAGGAACCCCATACATCTTTGCAGAGAGAGTTGTGCCACACAAAACACAACAGTTATGACTTTGTGTATAAACTGAAATTTCCCCAGAGCAACATTGAAAAGCATGAAGTTTTGTTTTCCTTAACTCCATCCTTCATCTCCTGTACTTCCATTCCCTGTAAAACCTACCCTGTTCCCTCTGGGCACCTAATAATGTTAAAAATTGTGTTAGTATTTATAACTTGTACATAATGCTTACGATGTCCAGAAACCGAGCTGAGCACCTTACATTTTCATTTAATTCCCACAGCAATGTGATAAACCAAGTGATGTTGTAACTCTCAATTCATAGTTGAGACAAGTTGAATTACAGAGAGGTAAGTACCTTGACTACGCTCGAAATGAGCAGAGGAGCAGGGATCAGATTGCAAATACCTCTAACTAGAATGCCGAGCCTCATCACCTTACCATATCACCTCCCAATGACCTGCTAAATCACCAAGCCCTTCTCACTACCACAGTGTAAGAGGACACGCTCTCCTTCTTTTCTTATGCCGCCAAACCCCCACTAACCTTCTCAGTTCCCTTCCCCAGTCTGCCAGTGCTGTTGCTGGAACCCATCCTCTCTGTCTCAACTGGAATGAAGATGCTTTCAGTCACATAAGATGATTGACTAATCAACTCATTATCCTTTAGTGTAAATAAGTTTCCATCAATGTATTGCCTAAGCCTAACATTTCCATCTTAAACCTTTAATCTCTGCTGCTTAATGATAGTAACAGATAGTTTCATCTACTCATTAGAGAACTCGGGCATCAGAAAGAAATTGAGAAAAATACCTCTAAAAGTAAATGTAATTTCATTCGTTTGATTTTGTTCATACTTACCTATTTGTCAAGCACTGTGTCAGGCAAAGGGGATACAAAATTGGATAAAGCAGAGCCCTGGTCTCTCAGAACTAAAGGAAGAGAGGGAAGGAGAGAAAAGGAGGTGGGGTAATGGCATTGATGATTGTAAGTAAGGTACAATGGTGGCCCCAAGGAGAAAAGATTAATTCTGCCTGAAGAGGTTAGATAAGTTTTGACAATGAAGACACTTTTTTGAAAAAATAGGTCCTTTGAAAAAATAACATTAGAGAGAGAAAGAAATGGAGAGGTTTAGACTGAGAAAAAGAACAATGTAAGGAAAGGTGAAGAAATGGATGATTTCGTTCTTTGAAAGTTCATGGAGTGATTGCCTGCATTATGCCTATGTACGTAATTGCTCCAAGGAGAGGCAACCCAAGTAGAGGCTGCTGTGGCACGCGGAAAACCATTCTCCGCCAAAGGAAAAAAGAGCTCATCAATAACTGGATTAATACTATTTTTCCTTCCCTCAAGTGTCCTCAACATGTCTAGAATGACTTACGCAGTACCAGTAGGGAAGCAGGCAGATGATACATTTCTATACGGCATGTTTATTCCTAACAAATTTTAAATACTGTAGAAACAATCACAGTAGTAGAGTCTGAGTTGATTTCGATTCTTTCTTAGGATACTAGTTAATTTTTTTAAAGAATCCTAAATTTCTCAGTTTAGAGATGATTAGCATAGCAAAATGTTTAATGAACTAGGGGAATTTTTTGATAGTCTATATTAGCTGTAATACACAATAGTGTCCTTAATCTGTTGCTCTGTCCCCCACACACAGCCCACTAGCCCTCTCCTTTTCTAGTAATCTCATCTTTTATATACCTATATCTCTTATTGTATCTCTTACATCCCCGCCATCAGCAAATCCTGCTGCTTCTATTTCCAAGATATTTCACAAAATGGGCTACTTGCCTCCACTGCCACCACCTCTGCCCGTCCACATCCCCCTCCCTACCAGATTACTTTGAACCCTCCCAGCATCTTCATGCTTTTATTACGAATCATTCTCCATAGAAGAGCCAACATAATCAGTTTTATGGATCACTATTTCCCCTTACAAAGAGTAAATAAATGGCATTTAATATATTAAAAAATGTATAAAGAAAAATAGAGCAAACATCAATATAGCCACTGACTGCATTAGGAAATAAAACTTTACCAACACTTTTCAATCCCGTTTTATTTCTCTCCACAATCAACTTTCCCATTCACTAATCTCCAACACTCCTGTATTTGATGTTTATTTTACCAACATATCTTTTGTGGGGAGTTGGAGGGGGTCTATTACATGTATCTCTAGTACATATATCTCTACTGTCTCTGCATTTTTAAAGTTTGATGTAATATTTCATTTGTCCACTCTCTTGTTGATGTACCTTTAAGTGCTTTTCAGTTTTGTTACTGTTATTAAAAATAATGCTGCCACAGATGTTTTTATACTCTCGCTGTGCATGTTTGAGAGTTTACTCTTACGTATACGCCTAGGGCTTAATTGCTGAGCAATAGGGCATATCATCTTTAACTATACTGTAGAATTGACTCAATGCAATTATTTACAGTGATTCATTTCCTTTGGAGGCTAAAAGTAGCCCCCGTCTTTGGAGTAATAGAGGTTCCAGTAGCCTCCTCCCTGACAACTTTGCTATGAAAGCAAATCTCATAAATTTTATTTAGCAAGCAGGTCCTGAAATGGTCACGTTACCTGTATTTTTAGCCCAGTCCAGTTCCAGCGTTCTTCTTTTGTCATAAAGCTTATCACATAAAAGGGTCACTCAAGGAAGATGTGACAATATGCTAGAGGTGGGATTCAACTGACCTTTCGAAAGTCTAGAGTGGCAGAATCCTCTCAGGAGTCTGGATACAAGGTCAGATGATGTCCTAGGACCAGGCACCACTCAGATTCAGAGCTGCTGAAGTCACTGAGCAGATTCTTTTACTGCACTCATGATGGCAGGTGCCTGTTCACTTTAGCCAATGCATTCATAATATGTGAGAAAATTATTATCATAAATAGAAAAAATTATTAGAATGGGTATTTCTTGGTTTCACCCATAAATCTCTCTACCCACCCAAATCCGTGGCTCTAATTAAGGGCTCTCTCCCATTCTAACATTTACTCGCATTTCTTACTGTCAATGTGTGTCCAAATATTGGAACAAAACTGGTTTCAAAGTAGCAATTTAAAAAATCTAAACAGAATGTTTATGAATTTGCAAAAACACTCTCAATAAACAGAGGCAAGTCAAGATGAGTTTTACTACGGTCATAATAAAATTTATTATATGTTTGAACATAATTGTAAATAAAGCACAACAAATAATTGTAACATGTTCTGATTTTTGGATGGAAAAAGTTATTTAACTATATATTGATAACATCCCTAAATGTTACTCGAACTTTAAAATCATTTGTTCCTATTTTAAGGTAAAAGTAAACAGAATTAGAAACATGAGAATTTTTAAACTGTAGAATCACGTGGGAAGGACCCTAAATGTTCACTGCCTCAAACCCCCAGCAGGAGCAGGGATTTTCCCAGCAGTAATTGTGCAAACCCAAGCACGTTTCCTTCCCATTCCAGGGCTCATTGTCTGAGTCAGCTCATGCCATCTTTGGTTTCCACCATTTAAAATTTTTTCCTTACGTGTGCAAACCTATTTTCTTAAAACTTCTGTCCAGACACATAAGAATATATAAATGCATGAAGTAGTCATCTGACAATACCAACTTTAAATATAATTGCAGGCAGGATGATTTCTAAAGGATGTGATTATTTTTTATAAGAATATATTGATTTTTGCTTAGTTTTAGCAAAGTCTCACTTCTAAAACATAACTAATTTATTTTTTAACCTGAATATTTTTTTGAAAAACATTTACCTCATGAATATTTACAGTTTTTTTAATAATATTTTTTATTTTATAATGTTCACATTCTCTGCCGTCTAGAAATCCGCATTCTTTGGTTTCATTAGATGAGATCTTACATCTCCAAGTTATTTTTTTTTTACATGAATAAGGAGTCACTCTCTTCTTTGACTGACCTCAGTCAAGCCGCTGATTGTCTGTCTTCCCTAGCAAGCCCAAGTATTGGGGTGAACAATCTTCTCTGCCCTTGAGATCTCTCAACCTCCTCTTCCCTTTCTTCCTTTAATTCTGCCACTTAGGCTGGAAGCAAACAACAGCTTGAGAGAAGCTGTTGAGAAGTAAGCAGCCATGGGAGAACCCTGAGAAGAAATCCATGAAAGGAATGCTTGTTTTCCTTACAATAAGTACAACTCGTGACATTCTCTTCCTTAAAACTCAGCAACACAGAAGAGCACTTCCCTTCACTCACAGTGAGTATATGGCCCGTGATGTCTCGTAGTCTCAGAGACGGCCCTCATGTGACCTTGGTGTTTTCCCAAGAGTACAGATAGTGCATAGACAGCGTCAACTTCATAGTACTTAAATTGTTTGAACCTCAGTTTATACACAAAGTTTCCACAAGAGCAAATTAAAAGGCTGAAAATTAACATATCAAAAATAATTCATTATACTTACAGAAAAGTAATTTGCTTTATTGCATAAATGACAATTGCAACAAGGGTATAAATTAGATATAATTATATAAACTGGAAGATAAGATATTTACATCCAAACATCATTCTAGTAAGGGGCAGTTTAAATATATTTGATATGATAGAAAAGTAGAATGTTAAAAATATCTACATTTGGACATCGTAAAAAGGCAAAGACAGGAATTCTGCCTGCCTACTCAGTAACTCACAAAGATTTGCATAACAATTTCCACCAACTGATCTCAGAAACAGAGCAATATTATCATTTTGATGAGTACAGACTATGAAATACTACAGACTGTGCTTTCTATAGTACTGTTTGAGGCAATCTGTGTAGGAAATATAATCAAGATTCATAATTGCACAAATCTGAAGGGCCTTACATCTCCCAACACAAAGCACACTGCTGTCATAACTCACAAAGAAGTAGTTGTAGTATTTCATAAACTGCTTACTGTCTACGACTGCAAATTGTTTAGCTAATCCATACAAACTTTTTGGCTGCAAATCTTCAATGTTGTAGGTCTGGGTCAGCTTATACTCCAGCTTCCAGTTGGATTCTCCCCTTCGATTAGCATCTGTCAGGTTCAAGAAGTACTGCAGCATGTCCTACAGTTAAACAGGGTAACAAAGCAGGGGTCATTGTTTGGCAGGTAAAGTAGAGCAGAGCAAGGAGAGTCCTTATTGGGATTTATCTGACATTGTTCATTTAAAGTACAGTCATTTTAAAAAGTGAGCATTGCTTTTAAAGAAAGAGAGTCCCAATTGAAAATATAATTTTTTTCATTTAAAAAAAAATGAAAGAACATCATAGGGAATAATCCAAACTATACAGAGAGATGTACAAAATAAAAAGCCTTCGACTCACACACCTCAGAAGTAACCACTGCTAACAGCTGTGTATGAATCAGTGGCATGCTGAAGGTGGCTTGTAGCAGCCCACAAAAACTGATTGTCAAATTTTCAGGAATCTTGGGAGTTAGTTGGTACCAGTTTGGCAGCTTGAAATTGGCCGTGATGGGAGTATTTATATCATGGAAATTGGCAAACACTACAAATCAAAGTATCTTTTCCCTCCGGTGAACCAATTATTAAACATTTACCAGCACATACCTATTTACTATATTTTTTGCTTTTCCAAAAAAGGAAATCATATCATACAAACTGTTTCGCACTTTTAAAAATTAGGTAGTACTATATCAGGGACTCCTTTCCATGTCAGCGCATATATGCATATGGGTGTGTACACCTGAGTGAGATTCAGATACAAAAACAGGCAAATAACAGTCAGAAAAGAATTTCTTTGGACTATTTTATCAGTCAATTGTTTTATTTCTTCATTTATTCTAATGTTTACAGATAAACCAGATTTCTTCTGCCTTATCTTTTTTGTAAAAACATGCTTTAGGGAATAACAGAGCTACTTCTTATTAAATCTTTTTAGGAAAAAAGTGCAGTGACATCAATAGACTTTAACTGAGAAATTCTTTTAAAATCATACTTGTTGAAAGGGGCTGTACGCAAGCTAAAATGCCTGGCCTTTTGATGCTAAGTTGATGTAAAGCATAGAGTCATGTATCAGCTCCAGAGAACTCTTGTCTCAAAGGTCCAACTCAATTTATTTTCTCTGCAAAAAATTTATTTGCCAACATTTATTGAATGCTAACTATGAGCCAAGCATTTAGCCAAGCATTTTGCCAAGCACTTGACAAATATTTGTTCATGCATCTTCACAGCAACTCAGTGAACTCAGTAATATTTTAATCCTCGTTTTACAGAGGAGTAGACTGGGACACAGGTAAGATCACTCATGAGAGAGCCTACATTCTTCATAGCATGTTCTGGAGAAGAGTAATTAATCACAAATAAGGCTTAGTGAAAAGTTTCATATGTATACATGTCCATAAATAAGGCACTAGCCAATGAAACCCTTAGCTAAATAACTGTGAAGTCCTTAGAAGAACAGAAACAGCTCCCCCAAGGCTAACCTCATAGACCCACACTTAGAAAGGGCTGACATTCCAAATACAAAAGAGAAGAGAGACATTCTGAGATTTCAACACTAAATACAACTCACAGTAGCAGCTCTGAAAAACCTTCAACTCAACAAATGAAAACCACAAAGATATGCATAAAGATGGAGTTGATTCTAAAACTGTGCCAGCTTACCAATAATTTATAGTCACGAGGCTCATACTGAAATAGTCTGACACCAGGATTGTTGGTCAGCTTTTCTAAAACATTCCTCCCTGGGGTAACAGCAGGAGCCACAAACAAGGAACTTACTGGACTTCCTAGACAAAACATACATACATAAACATGTATCTTTTAATAATTAAATTTAACTGTATTACAAATACACAAGTTCTAGACTAACACATGTAACAGCCAAGTGATGTGCGATCCTTGATGGATCCTGATTTGAAACAACAGTAAAGAGAGACTTTTGAGGAGATAGGGACAGTTTTATTATGGAGAGACTGAAAGAATTATTGTTGATTTTGTTAATGGTATTATGACTATTATCCATATATTTTAGCAATGAATACAGAACACGTAGGGCTGAAATACATTTGGTGTTTGAGATTTACCTTTAAGTACTTTAGAAAAAAAGAATAAAAAATGGATTGATAAAATAAATGTGGCAAAATCTTGAGATGTTGTATATAAGTGGTAGTACATGGGGGCTAATATTGCTTCAATATTCTCTCTGCCTTTATACATATTTGAAGTTTTTTGTAATAAAAATATCCAACTGATTACAAGTACACATATATAAAATATGCAAAGCTAGTTGTTCTGTACTCTGTCTATAACAATATTTCAATAATTACAAAACAAGGATCAGATGAAAGTGTCACCATGTTTTATACATATCTATTATATAACTAAATTTCTTTGTGAGTGAAAAGGCTGCCAAATGCTGGGAAATGGTCATTTTTACCAAGCTTACTTATTCTAGATGAAAAAGGCAAAGCATTTCAAAAATGTTCCCCAGTTACTGAGAGAAAAAAAAAAAAACAATAGTATTTACTTCCTGGTCGTGACTACTAAAACTTA